GCAGCTGCTGTTTAACTAGTATGGGTGAGTCATGCTGCCAGGTTTGTCCCCCCACCCAGAAGTCTGCTGAAAGTTGCTCAGAAATGATCTCCATATCATATCGCTCACATACGCGATGAAGTTACACCCCAAAGAGATGGCTCCACAACTAAGGTACTTGTTGCTCTTACACAGGGCATTTGCATTTAGTATGCTCAAACCCACATTCAGAGATAAACATATACACAAAATTTAAAAAGAAAATAAAATTTTAATAGATGATAAAATCCAGTTATCCATCAGTTTTCCTTTCATAGTGACCTAGCCCAGACTCTGTGGAGCACCACAGAGGTTTTCGCCTGGTCAATGTTTAATGTGTAAAAGAAACCATTAGGTAGGATGGGGCGGCAAACAGTAGCCCAGTGTTAGCAGCAAGTCCTCAGGGACCGCCCCCAGGAACAGGCAGTGCTGGGGCAGAGAATTGAATGTTCCACTTTTAAAGCCATTTGCCACCAGAGTGCAGATGTTTACAGGTTTGGGGTTAACTCAGGCTAGAGAACCTCTGTGCTTTTTCTGTCTTTTAGTTTATGTGACTCCGGTTTTTATTCCAACTCTAATATTGTCCTTTTGCTTTAGTGTTTCGCTTCCTGATTTCTGACGGTGTAGTTGATCCAATTAGGAGTCTCAGGTCTCCTATCACAGCATCATAAAGAACAGGGCAGAGAGTGACCGCTGGCTAAGAGCAGAGAGTATTCAAAACAAATTCCCTTTGAGCCGACACTGTGACCATGTCCTTGCTTATACATAGGCTGATTCCTTTGAACAGAATTAAGGGCTTAAAATGGAGAGAAGGAGACTGAATAATTATCCATGGGATGCAGGGAAAAGACTCGCTGACTTGATTCAGTGGGAGAAACAATATCAACTGTTTCAGATTGTACTGCCACATAGACAAAAGTGGTGTCCTTGTTTTCATGCTCATGCATTTTGGATCTGGATACTCATTCATTCCTTCAGCTCATACTTTCTGAGAAGAAGGGCCAAGGAAAGGTGTGCCGCAGACTGCATGGTCCCTTCTGTTTGGGGATACTGCCCTTCCCTGTGTGTCTCAAGCCAACGTGATGAATTCTCCTTCTGAAGTTCAAGGATGATTTTATTAGATGTTACAGGAAAGCATAGTACATACAAGTTATCTGACAAGCCCAGCAGCCACAGCCACGGGGAGTCAGTGGAAGGAGAGTCACACCTTTGAGTTAGGCCTGGGACAGAATCACACAGCTTATTAAGAAAGCAAAAGGAACTGCATGAGGTGGGCTGTCAATCAAGCCGAGGAAAGAGCTCCGGAGCCCTGCCTGCCTGCCACCCCTGTATGGTCTTCTGCGGTCCTTTCCGCCCCTCCTGTTTGTATTTTGAGGGTCTCCAGTCTCCCTCTGCAATGGGCTCCTTCCTCACAGTGCTCTCGACAAGCTTTTACAGCTCCTACTCCCCTTCCCCACAATGGTGTCTGCTGGTTTTTCATGACAGGATTTCACTGCGTAGCTCTGGCTGCCCTAGAACTCACCCTGTAGACCAGGCTGGCCTTGAACTTACAGAGATCTGCCTGCCTCTGCCTCCTGAGTGCTGGGATTAAAGACTGTGAGGCCCAGGCAATGGCCCTGGCACGGAGGGTGGACGCCCACCCGCAGCTGACTCGGGTTCTTCTCGAGCTGCAGTGCTGGTTCTCACCGTTCTGTGCCTGGGTTTTTGTTTTGTTTTGAATTCACAGTTATATGCTTCTCAGTTTGTACCAAGGAAAGACAGCAGACTAATCCCAGTTATAAAAATAAGTAATTTTACAATTTCACTTCAAGGCTGTTTTTCTCCACACTGAACTTACATTCGTGAGAAGAAATTTTATATTTGTTACTCCATTTTTCAATAAATCTAAAATGACTATTTAAAAACTCTACTAATTTAAATACCAGCTTAACAAACGCAGTTTTATTGAAAGTGTAAGACATGAATCTGAAACTGTCTCTGGTATAAGAAGCCAACCGTAAGCGAAGATGTAACATGTAAAACTGCTTATGACCTTGCTGTGCTACACAGAAGGAAGTGTCTTCACTGCATGTGGAACACAATACAAAACACACTGGAACTAACCAGTTGGTTTGAATAGGTGTCCAGTGCAAGGACTTAAAACTACAAGATGTTTTTACTTGCATCCGATATTGACCTGGTACTTCAAGGTTGGGTTTTTCCCCCCTGTATTTTAATATGTACTGTTATCAAACCAACTAGTTTAATTTGTTTAATTTGTTTGTCGATAATTGCCATATTCCTTACATAATTTATTTAAAGTTATTTTAAATGTGTCCCTTATTATGTCCTATAATGATGAATATTATATACAATAATAAATGCAAATTTTATAATATAGTATTTTAGAAAAGTATAGTTTTAGCTTCAAGTAATCTCCTGATTATATGTCATAAAAAGTACAAGTGATCTTCTAAATTTTTAAGGTTATTCAAAAGCAGTTTACATTTTGGGGTGTATTTATCTGTGTATGTCAACGGTATATGTATGTGTATGTTCCTATGTGTCTGCTTGTGGAGGTGGTGTACATGCACATGTGCACATATGTGTGGAAACCAGAGGTCAACCTCATCAAAGGTCAACCTCATCAAAGGTCAACCTCATCAAAGGTCAACCTCATCAAAGGTCAACCTCATCAAAGGTCAACCTCATCAAAGGTCTTCTGTGGTTCTCTCCAGCTTACTTTTTGTTTTTGAGGCAGAGTCTCCCACAGGCCCTGAGTTCACTGACTCAGCTGGGCTGGCAGGCTGGCTAGGGAGCTCCAGAGATCAGTGTTTCCTCAACACTAAGATTGCAGGCGTGTACTCAGGACCTGGCTTCACATGGCTTCTGGGCGTTTGAACCCAGGTCCTCACGCTTGCATGATAAGCACCTTACTGATGGAGCCGTCACCCCAGCCACACATGGTTTGTGTTTTCATTTCTTTCTTTTGTTTCTAAAGTGGGGAGGGGACACTAAAGTACTGTGTTGGAAATCTTCCTCTTATTTAAGAAAATGGGCTCAGGAGGAGTGAAATTTGCCAAAGGACAAACGCCTGCCAGGTGGCAGATTCTGGATGGAAACTCAAGACAGCCTCATTCTGGATGCTGCTATCAGTCCCTTTCCCTCTGCAGCTGTGATTAAAAGCTGGGGCCCTGGAGGGAGGGAGACAGAGGACCGCTGAGGACAAACCAATAGGTGTGGTGATCCCTGGGATAGCCTGGAGTTCCTTGCGGGCTAGAAGGACACCAAGACCTTAGGGCTTCTAGATCAGAGATGTAAAAGGAGCATTGCTACCAGAGGAAGAGAGAGAAGGAGGGAGGGGAGAGGTGGGAAGGGAGGGGGAAGGAGGGAGGGAGGGAAGAGAAAGAGTTTTACTGTGATTTGGTTTAGGTAAAAAGGTCCTAAGATCAATTTGGGACTTTGCTGAGTCACAAGCAGCATTAAGACTTCCGGAAAGGACTGTGACAAAAACGGTTGGAAACAGGACCGAGGGCTGTTGAGAGTCAGTGGAGAAAGCGTGCATTTGGAATCCATTCAGGGTGCAGGTAAAAGCCAAACAGGAAAGCCACTGCAAGAAAGCAAGCCTAGAGAGAGGAGGAACATGATTGAAGACTTGGAAAACAACCCTCCTGGGAGTTCAAAGAGGAAAAATTATAGGGGGGAAAACAACAGAATTTAAAAATCATGTCAAAAGAGACCCAGAATCACACAGAATAAGGGAAATGGAGAGCTAGGGAGCGTGGCTGAAATGTCTTGAGTTTGTCCTGGGCACTTCCTTTTATGTATGTAGTCCTCAGGATAACACACAGACATCAGTTCACACATCCACATTAGCAAATGAGGACACAAATGCTTGGAGGTTCAGCTCTCTGCCCTGTTTGGTCCTGACACAAATCCTTCCAGCCTTCCAAGTCAATTCTCTTTCTCTCCCTTAAAAATCTTATTTTATGTTGTGTGTATGTGTGTGTGTGTGTGTGTGTGTGTGCGCGCGCGCGTGCGCGCGTGCACGTACACATGCTTTAGTACCATGGCATGCATGAGGAGGCCAGAGGAGAACTTGGGGGGTGCTTTTGTCTTTCTACCATATGGGTCCTGGGGACCAGATTTAGGTTGTCAGCCATGCTGATAAATGCCTTTACCACTGAGCCACCTCACAGGCCACAGACACACTGTTTTTTAAATTGGAGACTCTTACTTTAAACCACGACCTTTAACTTCTTCCCATGCTCGGCAGTATATTGCATTCCCTTCCTCGTCATGATACCTTTTAAACACACCAGTTCTCGGTTACATAAAAACATGATATTTCAGGAAGGACTCTGACTGCCTGGCACTGTGTGGCAGGGAAAGGAAGAGTGGGTACAGACCAGACAGCCCTAGGTTCAACTTCGACCTTAGTGACAGTGTGAACTCAAAGCAGTTCGGATTCTCAAAGCCTTGTTCTGCTCATGTGTGAAACAGACTTGATGTTTATTGCCTTGTAGAATGCTATCAAGCGTAGTCATCATATGAGGAAATAGTTCAGCACTGGCCTTTAGCATATGGTAGCCAGCTTTAAAACGGAGCAGACAGTGGTGACAGAGGAAGCGTGGATTTGCTGCAGACAGCTGTTGCTCGGTGATTATCTCTCCTCCAAAATCAAGTTGTGTATGCTCTAACCAAGTGCAGACTGCATTGCTCTTTATTCACCCTGAAAACTTATGTGAGCTTAGACAGAAGATGTTTGCTGAAGTATAAAGGGCCACCACACACTGCCACATGGGGCTGGCTGTTAATTACAAGGACTGCAAAGGAAATAGGTAGCCCTGGCCTTGTACGGATAGCAGCTCGGGAAATACGATGGAAAAGGATGAAGAGCCAAGGACGCGGCCACTGCAGCGGAGCCACTGGAGGATTGTGCTGCTGTCCATGGCTGTTGCTTGGCACCTTAAACACCTGTCTACCTGTCATGCTTCCCACAGATCTGCACCCCTGACCTGGTGGTGTTCCTGGCTTGTGCCAACCAGAGGCTCAGAGAGAGGTTAGTGAAGCGTGCAGAGCAGCAGGGACGGCCAGATGACAATCTGAAAGCCACCCAAAGGAGACTAGTAAACTTCAAGCAGAACGCTGCCCCGCTGGTGAAATACTTCCAGGAGAAAGGACTCATCATGACCGTAAGTTGGCCTCTCTGGGGCATAACCGCACAGAGGAACCTTTCAGACCTCTAATGGTCCATGTTCTCACTTAGGAATTCTCTTGATTTTAAGAAGTAGCTTTGGGGACAATGTGCAGTATCAATTAAAAAAATTTAAAGTAGTCATTTTTACTAATATCCCTTGATTTAGCCATAATGATTTTTAAAATCTTGCATTTTTAGTTTGATTTCTATGAAAGAGAATGTGTTGATCTTGTCTACAGTTCCATATCACCCAAGTTTAAAGTGTTTTGCAGCAACAATCTGGGTAGTTAAGCAACATTTGCCCATTTCTCTGTTTACCACACAATATCAGTAAACTTATAGACAGCAGTTGGCATGGGATGGTAGGAGGCGAATTTTTAGGTTGGACTTTGTCATGTACTATATGAGGTAACAGATCCTGACTCTGCCGTCATGTTTCCTGATGGTTTGACTTCTTGTAAATGAGAGCTGGTGTTGAAATGGAAGGTGTCCATCTTTCTGCACCTTTAATATAGTGCAGTGTATGCACACACATGTCAGTATTAACATTTTCCTACATAGCCAGTTGGTTCTATGGTTACTGGTATTCAGTGTCCCAATGGAGGATGATGCTGGGTCTTCAGACCCCTCATTTTTTAGAATATGAGCCTTGAGAGGTGAAGGCCCAGCCTAACTGACAATGTGACAGATATGATTCAATATTAAGTCATGGCAAAGACAGAGACTACAGGCCACAAAAAAAATTCCTCATGCCACAGAAGCCACGGCAGCTTCCTGGCAGCTGATCTATGGTAGGCAGCATCAGACTTTTCTGTCCTGACTTCTGCCCCTTCACCCCAGACTAAGAGTTCTTGCCTAGTGGGCTGGCATGCTCTGCTGTGAATCTGGTGAAAACAATGTACACCCCTCCCATTTTTCAGTTTTTATGTAATGACTGAAGCATGTTCACAGAACTCCTGTGACCTAATGATGCTTGTGGTAAACCGTCTCTTGGTTGGACTAAGATGTCCTCAGAACTAAAGAGATAGCTGCAGCATTGGGATGGTAATCCTCTCTATCTTGATATATTTATTGTGATTTGTGCTTTGAGTCAGAGTTGTAAATCTGGTCTGGAGATGACTTCCCATACCAGAGGTCATTTATGTTTTGGCTTAAAACAGACATTGAGTTCTAGGAAAGATTTGGGAACATTGGGGTGGGTTTTTTTTTATGACTCTGTGTGTGTGTGCTATGTGTGTGTGTGTGTGTGTGTGTGTGTGTGTGTGTGTGTGTGTGTTGTTATGTATGTGTGTGATGTGTGTGTGTGATATGTGTATGTGATATATGTGTTGTGATGTGTGCGTATGTGTGATATGTATATATGATGTGTGTGTTTGGTGTATGTGTGTGTGTGTAATGTGTGTGTGTGATGTGTGATGTTTGTGTGTGGTGTGTGTGTATGTGTGTGCTTGGTGGTTGTGTATTTTTCTCACCTACCAGTACTGATTTCTGCCTTGTGCTATGATAAAAGAAATGAACCCTGCAGACTAAATCCCAACGCAAGGAGCAGAGCCAGACTTTAATTGATATGCCCATGGTTTAAAGGTAATACCGAGTGTCCTGATGACTCCCTGCGTTCCTCATCAAAGCTGAGCAGATTCCCCAAATGAATGCAGAGCAGGGAGTGGTAATTTACTAATAGTTTGCATGGAGGTGAAATGCCGTTGCCTGTAATTGAAGGAGTCAGTGACAATAGAGCTGGCAGCCCGTGACCTCACTGCTGAAACCAAGCGAGCTCTAAGATAAATGCCTCTAATTACTGGGAAGAAACTTGCCTCACAAAGCCACCTTTTGGAAACTAGGGAACACAGGCTGAGCTCCCGAGAGTATAATTTGAAAAAAATAGTCTGACAAAGACTTAAATCCTGTCTCCTGAGACACGTGTTCTCTTTCAGTGCTGGGATCACAGTTCCCTTTCAGAATCAAACTTTGGTGGCACTGCTGTTTTTAATGATGAGCTAAATAATAAAAACAATCATCTTTATTCATCCCAGCCATGTTAAGATTTTAATAAATCTATTGGTTAATAGGTTAGACTCAAAGTTTTCCTTTTCTCTGTCTCCCCTCCAGCCCCCTGCCTGGGCTTCTACCTGCCACTCCTGATGGATTCCTTTATTCGATTAGTAAATAGTCACTCGCTGGTTGTTCGGGTTGTAGGCCGAGGGGATGGCTCAGAGTGTAAGAGTGCTTGCCCAGTTCAGAGCCTGTCTTCATTTGCTTTTTGTTCCTATAGTAACTACTATAACTAAAAGCAACTTGGAGAGGAAAAAGTTTATTACACTTTTTGTGTTATAGTCCATTATTGAGGGAAGTCAAGACAGGAAACTCAAGGCAGGACCTTGAAGCAGAAACCCCAGAGAAGTACTGCTTTCTGGCTTGCTGTCCTAGGCTTGTTCAGCTACTTTTCTTATACAACCCAGGTCCACCTGCCTAGGGATGGTTCCGCCCACAGTGGGCTTAGGCCCTTCTACATCAATCAGCGATCAAGAAAATGCCCAGTCTGATGGAGGCAATTTCTCAGTTGAGATTCTCTCTTCCCAGGAATGTCTAGGTTTATGTCAAGTTGACAGTAACTAAGACAGATACCCAGCACCCATGTATAAATTACTTGTAACCTTGTAACTGAGAGTACTCGTAACCCCAGCACTGGAGGTGGGACAGAGACAGGAGGATTGCTGGAGCTGACTGGTTGGCCTGAAAACAGAAAACTCAGTGAGGGCCCATGAGAGACCCTGTCTTGGAAGAATAAGGCAGGGAGTGATAGTGTAGGACAACTGTCTTCCCCCAGATGCACAGCACATGCAACTATGCACACACATGTATACGCCACACACAAAAAATAAAAGAAGAGTAAAGGCTTCTTCATTGGGTTCTTCATTGACTGTTTCAAACTCCTAGACATTGCTAACCCACGACATCATGTGTTCCCAGTACAGGAAGAGTGTACAGTTTATGGGGAAATGTATATGAAACATGAGCTATGGATTATGAGGACTGGTGAGTCCCTGAATATAAGAATGTTCAGGGATCTTCCACATGGTTTTTGCATTCTCAGGGACTGGAATTCCCTGCAAAAAACAGAACAGGCTCCCTCCCCATCCATATGTAGGGAATTAACCACTGGTCTCCAAGAAAGCCTTCTAAGGATTACTGGTCCTTGGAGTTTGAAACCTCATGTGGAATCTCAGCTCCTCTGACATTTAATATCATGATGTCCCACAAGGTCTGCCATAGCTGGAGAGAGGGTGTGAGCTGCCTTGCAATGTTATACAGGAGCAGGGAGAGAAGGGATGTGACCTGATGATGGATGAAAATGTAGAGATTGTGTTTAAGGTTCACCAGACATCTTTATTGAATGGTCAGATGCCAGTGACATCACCCAACACCCATGTAACCTGCAGATGGCATAACCTTCTCTGTAACTCACATACCTGTAAAATGGATGCCATCCTTTATTCTGTCCCATTGTGCTTATGAAGATGAACTGGATGGCGTATGTATAAAGGGTCCCTCGATTGTGGTAAGTGTCGGTCAGTTGGTTGATATCATTTCATGACTTCTGTTTCTCTTTCTTTCCCTTCTGCCTCCTCTAATGCTCTTCTGGGGTCTAAAACTCTCACTGGCAAGACCATGTCTTTTGAGGAAACTACTGTTCCTCCCCAAATAAATGTTACTGAAGACACACCAAATTAATAATTTAGGCTTCTAAAACTTCATGGCAACTTACTTTTATCTTTAAGTATGCCTGTTGATGAATTATGAAGTTACCCAATGGCTTTGTTTCTCTATTTTGTGGTGGATTGAACCAAGGGTCTGTGTCTGCTAGGCAAGCCCACTACCACTGTGCTATGTCCCTGGCCAGAAATTTCTGTAACAGCCATGCTGCCTACATAATCCAGATGTGTCTGAACAGTGTAGTTGAATTGTAATGGACCATCAACCCACTCTTTTCTTTTTCCTACTTCCTCATTGACTATGTATCTGTTGGTAGATGTGACTAAAGAAAAAAAAAAAACATTTTGACTGAAAAGAGAATCTAATAGTCAGAGATTCGGTATGCCGTGGTCTGGTCATGATCTTGTCAATGTTCTTCCCATATCATTTGGTTAGCAGACTGAATTTAAGTGACAGGAAATCCAAAGGCTTGTGTAGTGGGTCTTTGAGGAATTTTTTCAGTGTGTTGACTTTTGCTCACCATAATTATTAGATACAATTTCTTTATTGATCCTTACATTTTTAATTAAAGGGTAGGATGTTGGAATTTTCCAGAGTTTGTGAAATATCTTTCATGAGGATGTGGGTATTTGGAATTAGGGAAGTTGTTTATTTGGTGTTGACTGAGTGAGCGGCTCTCAGGACATGTTGGGCACTTGGACTTCTGAACTGCGTTACTGCTGGATAATAAGTTCCCTTTTATAGATTTTTGAAGTCTCAATATAATGTTTGGTGTTATCTTAATTTAAAAAGCTTAAACATAGTGAATTAGTTGGTCAAGAAGTCTTCGTAATTTTGTTCCTTACCTTTTTTGATGTTAGTGGTCAAACCCACTGCCTGTGGATACTGGCCATGCACTCTATCACGGAAACGTAGTTATGTATGGATATAAAGGACTCCAAAAGTGTATTTGCAAGACTCTTATTTTTAAAGAAAGAAGTGTTTGAAGTCCTTGAAAACAGAGGCAAAATGTTCTGTCAGTTATTTTCTGCCATGCATCAAGCTTTGTGCTTTGGGCCTCTCGCCAGGCTAGAAAGATAAATGACTTCCCGGACTGAACAAAAGCTGCTTCACATGGGTGACGATTAGGGCCAGTGAGATGGCTCAGTCAATAAGGGTACTTGCCACCAAACCTAACAATCTGAGTTCGATCCCCTGGCCCCACATGATGAAATGAGAGAACCCACTCTCCCAAGTTGTCCTCTGACCTCCGCATGCATGCCATGGTATAAATGTACACAC